CTTTGGAACTATCAAGATGACACTTGTTGGCCCTTTTTTATCTCCAGATCAACGCTTTGATATCAGAGAAACCTTTCTCCAAATAGGAAATTCATCTAAAGTGTTGCAAGTATTGGAAATTGAGCTAAGCCTCTTGTATGAGGTTCTTCACACCAAGTTACCTGTGGTTGGTTGCATGATTGGATACATTTTCAGGTTTATTACTATGTCTTTCATCTTGGGAGCCTTGTTGTCATTCTCATTATTTAAGAAGCAATATGAGTTGGGGCAGTTTGACATGTGGCTGACCTATGGGTTGCTAATCGGGGCCTTGCTATTGGAATTCATATCTATCATATTGCTTTGTTTCTCCGACTGGATTTTGGGTGGTCAGTTCCAGAGTACGGAGTCCAGTTTCTTCAATAGGCGCAGGTGGTCTAGAGCAGTTTCCCAGTTGAATTTTATTACTTACTATGTTAAAGATTCTCCAGTTTTGTTAAGAAACATTGCTGATCTTCTTGGCATAAGGTTTTTGTTCGAAGCCATAAAAGGAATCCTATGTCTCTCTTTTAAAGATTTCAAAGAACAGCAAGAATGGCGCTTCATTTATGAGGAAGTGAAAAAATTGAACCCATTTTTAATGGCAGATGATGTATCTCGGCCGACTGGGCAAGAGGCCAGTCAAGCTTGGAGATCCAATAGTGAACAAGCTCTTAAGAACTTTAGCAATTATATGGACATCGCCAATATCTTGGAGGAGTTAGATTACACGAAAAGTGTACTAACTTGGCATATAGCTACTGAAATATGCTGGCAGCAGGAACCAGACCAAGCGTCTCACTGCGGGACTGAAGAAGGCCAAACGCCTACCTCTAACGGCTTCAATCACAAGGAAATATGCAAGCTGCTTTCAGATTATATGTTTTACCTTTTAATAATGCAGCCAGATATGGTAGCAGCTGTCTCAGTGAGTTGGAAAATAGTGTTAGAAGACACATTGGCAGAGACAGAGTCACTGGTACCCAGGAGTTCAATCTCATCAAAAGGAAAGGATGTCAAGAGCCAAATATCAGAGGCTAGCAGAGGAATCATTAAACTGATACCAAATGTCAGGAATCCAAAAAGGGATATTGATAGATCAGTGTTATTTGCAGCATCTGCGCTTGCCAAACAGCTGCTGAATAACTCAGATCGTCGTTGGGCGGCAATGAGCAAAGTTTGGGTACATTTATTGTGCTTTGCTGCGATTAATAGCAGGCCATTGGTCCATGCGCAGCAGCCTAGTAAGGGAGGTGAACTTCTCACATTTGTTTGGTTGTTAATGAATCATTTGGGATTCGGGACTCAATTTTCTAGTCATTACTTATAAAGATTAGTGACTATGTTGCTAGTAAGTTTGATTAGTTACTGAATGTCTTTCTCAGTTATCTTTCTTTGAAATAGTGTTCTAGTTGCTTATGGTCTTTCATATGAATCGGGGTGTATTTTCAATATATATCTTTGGGTCTCTCTTGTATCTCTCAAAATTTGAGCTTCGATGGAATTCCAATTGCCTCCTTTTTTCTTTTTTTTTTTTCTTTTTTTCTTGGTTCATAAAAACATGGATGCGTCCTCTGCTGGATCTTCTCTTCAAACTCATCAAGAATACTGGAATCTATCTTTCTGTTCCAGTTTAATTTAAGCACTAATTGGTACTGGCATACTAACATAATATATTTATTAAAAAATTATTATTTTTAATTTAAAATTTAAAATTAAATAAATTTAAAAATATAATTATATATATAATATAACAATTAGTTAAATTAAATTTTATTTATATTATATTTTAATAATTAATTAAACCAAACAAAGGTAAAAGAGTGTGTTAAACCAAATATATATCAATTATTTTCAATTTAATTAACTTCATTAGTTCCCTTTTGAAATTTTATAACTCGTGTAGAATACACTTTTAGTTTTACCCCTCTGGGAATTGAGTCCTCATATTCATTAATTTAACATTTTTAAATTAAATTAAATCGATCGAGTTCAAGATTTTACTTGGAGTAATTATTAGTCAAAAATGATTTTACTTAAATAACATTATTGATTTTTTTTATGTTAACATTATTGAATTAAATATAATAATAATAATAAAAAAAACCAAAATATGAAAATTTACAATGGAGAAGATGCCGAGATTTGCAGGTTTTTTCCGATCAGATTTGCAAGTGCATCCAAATAGCAAACGGGGTGCAACCCGATAATTTTGTTTCTGGATTTTCATTTTTTTCGTGAAGCATTTTGTTACAAAGGACATAAATAAGGTAGAGTGTTACAGAATATTTATATTATAATTATATTGATTGGGTTTATATTATAATTTATTGATATAATTAAGTTAATTAACTTTGTACTATAGAATATTCTCTTGTATAAACTTATAAATAAGTATTTTGTATATTTAGTGAAATTAAAAAAAAAAAGAATTTCTTTTTTCATTTATCTTTATATTTTTCTTCTCTTAATATTTCTATCATAATATTAGAGTCTTGAGGCTTTTTTTTTACTATTACTGCTCATCTCCTTTGTGAGTTGCTGCTTTGCTTGTGGGTGGTGCCGATCATCATCATCTATGCTTTCTTTCTTGGACTTATTTGCAATTGGGTTATCTTGATCATGTTCCTTTGTTGCACCGGCAATACGTTTTACTCTCACAGCCAGTGTCGCTCTAGCCTTCTTGCATCCAATTGCCGCTAATTTTGCTCTTGATTTCTTGTCACTAATTTTGCTCTTGATTTCTTGCAATTGAACTTCTGATATTATTGTTGCCTAGGTCCGAGATTGCCTCCTTCTCCTCTAGTGGCATCGATTGCATCGATCTAAATATTCAGTATGCAGATCTTTTCACCAAAAGCTCACTTTCCTAGATGCTTCCGCACTCTTCTTTCTAAACTCAAGTTGGTCTCCTCATCACCATCTTGAGTTTGAGGAGAGATATTACAGAATATTCATATTATAATTATGTTGATTGGGTTCAAATTATAATTGATTAATATAATTAGGTTAATTAATTTTGTACTATAGAATATTTTTTTGTACAAACCTATAAATAAGCACCTTATATATTTAGTGAAATTAAGAAAAAATAGTCACATATCTTTATATTTTTCTTCTCTTTATATTTCTATCATAGAGGAAGAAGCTATAGGAAGAACAAAAGAAAAAGAGGACGAATAACCTTAACCTTGGAAGAAGAAAAGAAAAAGAAGAGGATGAATAACCTTGACACAAGGAGAAGAAAAGAAAAAGAGGACGATGAACCTTGACCTAGGAAGAAAAAAAGAAAAGGGAAAGGAATAACCTTGAGGAAGAAGAAAAGAAAAAGAAGAATAACCTTGAGGAAGAAGAAGATGAATTCGGCTGGAGGACTAGCAGGAAGAAGCTGGCTTGATTATTTTTTTTTCTTAAAAAAAATTATTTGGCTCTTGCAAAAAAAAAAAAAAAATGTTTACATTTGGGTAATTTTTTACCCCTTACGGTGTATTATTTAAGTATTCTTTTATTAATTACAATTTAAAGTTAGAATTAATTATTAACCATAAATGAAAATAGTTAATTATATAGTAACATATAAAAATAATTTATAAACATTTGGTTCAATATATTTTTTGATATTTATGTAATTTAACTATTAAAAATATAATATAAATATAATTGATTTAGATAGTTCTTGCATTCTGTAAGCATGATTATGGGTGTGTTTGGTATTACGATTGAGAGTTTTTTCGTGTAACTGCATAGCACTTTTAGATATATGTATGTATGGTAATATCTTTTTAGATTTTTTCTAAAAATTATATAAAATCACAGTAGATTTACAGTAATTTTATATATAAAGTTAAAAGCCTTATTTTTTAAGTTTTTTTATTGTAACTTTTATGAAAAACACATAATATTTAATATAATTATAAAATTACCTATTAAAATCTAATTTCGTATAATTTAATTACGTCATAATTTATAATATTTTAATAATAATAAC